GTGTGTGTGTGTGTGTGTGTGTGTGTGTGTGTGTGTGTGTGTGTGTGTGTGTGTGTGTGTGTGTGTGTGTGTCTCCAATTATACAATTAGTGAGGAATGTAGGGCAGCAGCGGCGCAGTGCTGCTCGCCGAGCCCGGACAGCGCCTCACCTCGCTCGCCTCACATACACAAATATCGAAAAGGACGGTGGGAGACGTTCCTCGAGTTTCAGTCGAGCCACCGCCAGCGGCTGTAGCAGGAACTGAAAGCAAAGGTCAAAGGTGGAAATGGGTCGAAAAGTCCACAGTTTCAGCACGAGTGTGTGTGTGAGTGTGTGTGTGTGTGAGTGTGTGTGTGAGTGTGTGTGTGTGTGTGTGAGTGTGTGTGTGAGTGTGTGTGTGAGTGTGAGTGACCTCTTGGTGTTGTGGATGTTGCTTCCTCCCAGCACGATCCGGACTCCAGGTGTGCTGCGGTTCAGATTGTAAACAGTCAGAGCTTCTTCATACGTGGCCCCTCCGATCATAAACACCAGGATGTCCTGAGGCCTGAAACAGATCCACAGGTGTGAATCACGTCAGCACCTCTTCTCTGTGTCTGAGTCTCTCAGGTGAGTGCTACCTGTCTCTGAGGCTGCTCGCTCCCAGGTAAGGAAACTGGCTGTCCTTGAGTCGCCCTTTGATCATCTGGTCCAGCGTGTCGTGAAGCAGAGGCTGATGCTGAGTGTACACGTTCTCCACACCCTGACAACACACACACACACACACACACACACACACACACACACACACACACACACACACACACACACAATAGAAAAAAAAAGCCACAGTCTAAACCTGATTCATAAAATAACTGACGACATTTAACACGAACCGTTTGTGCTGAAGAGGTTCTGTGTGTTTGTTTGTACCTTTAGTCCTTTGAAAAACTGTTTGGTGATGGAGACCGCGTCTGTGGGTGTGATGAGGTCACTTCCTCTGATTCTCTTCCCACCGTACTCCACCGCAGCCTGAACCATCTGAACGAAGAGAAGGGAAAGCATGAGCTTTACTGCTCTCACAAAACACGGCCCTCATCTTTTCAGCCATCACGCTCAGCCAGGTTTTTAATCAGCACTGTGCATGAAAAAGCACGTTTTTAACCTCCACACGCCACAGACACACTCTGTGTTTGAATGCTTCAGAAAGCACGGACTCCTGGGCTGACTTATTATCAGAGCAAGTAATGCAAACCACACAGCAACGTATCGGTACGGATACGATGGAATATCTCGAGGTTTTGTCTCTGCCTGTCGGGGTCTTTGAACTTGAACTTTCCTTGAGAACAACCCTCAGCCTCATCCCTGTGCATATCTGTCTGCCCCAGGCTAACCATGTGTCATTTACACCCAAGGTTTTAGCACAGGTCTACATTTTAATCATCATCTTTACATAGAAACCAGCGAGTCAAGTCATGCTAACACCTAACTCAACTAAACCTTGTTAATCTGTTTTTTTAATGGACATTAAACTTTATTGTAACAGCTGTGAAAATAGCAACACTGGACGTGTTAGTCGAGCTGTGGACCCCCCAGTAGTCCCAGTTCAATTAAAAAGGAGGGGAGGGCTACTGCGCAGTACAGCCACGAAAGCCGTGTGAATGGCCCAACATCCTGTGTGCGAGTTATGTGTTGTATGACGGTGTGTGTGTGTGTGTGCGAGCACCCAGGCCCCCCCCCCACCTACACACCTACTCTCCGCCCCCGAGGGAAGCAGTCAGACGTGTCATTGTGAAGACGTTTCAGCATATTCGTGTCCAGATGTTTGGATCTGGATTGATGGAAAGATTTTGCTCCTACGTTACAGTTGGGAGGAAAACTGGCTCATCAATTTCAAAAAATAGCTTAGACATTGTTGTTAACCCTCGGGGGGCACAGACATTTCAACATTTTGTTCCCCAAGTAGGTATTTCTCCATTCAGCTGATTGTAGTTAAAGTTTTCCTGTATTATCGCTTGCAGCTGCTGATATTCTCGAAATTTACAACTTCTTTAAATGAAATAAACATCTTGTATTTTTTATCCCTTTTCATGCCACAATGATCTGATTGTTCCCAATGGCTGTTAGTTTACCTGGGATAAGTAAGCACCTACCAGGCGGTCAGCGGGTGTTTATGGCTTTTAAAGCAGTTATGATGCTTAATACTGGAGCTTATGAAGGGCAGAGGAGAGATTTTTGCTTGAACACATAATGCTTGTTCTATGATCAACCAGGTCTGAGAGCCTGGTGGAAACATTTATACCTGGATATCCGATGTTACCTGACTGCTGGTGGTATTTACAACTCAGAGACAGAACATCTGACATGGATGAGAACTTATAAGTGTGATCGTCTTTATATTGAGGTTCGTGAGTTCCTAAGGAAACACATCGTCAGCATAATGAACTCCTTTAACATCCACGTTTGGTCAGATTGCTGCCACTAGTGGCTCGATAAAAATGACAGGAAGTGAGGGAGAAAGCAGACAGGCCTGTCTAACGCCCCTCTGTAGACAGACGCTTTGTCAAGTACGAGCCTTTATCCTAGCACGAGCGTTTGGAGAGCTGTCTGTTACCCTGCGGTGACGCTCAGACACTCCTCTTCTGCTCAGCTCGTCCATCAGAGATGACAGGATGCTGCTGCTGTGGCGCTCGTACCTCAGAGCGTAGAGCATGACGAGGCGCACGGCGTCCAGCTCAGACACGCGTGGATTTTGCAGCAGTCGCCGCACATTCTGAAAGAAGATATTGTGTTATGGCCCAAACAAGCAGGAAAGGAAGACAGGAAGTCAACACAACGCATCCAGAATGACCTTCATTTATGACACATTCAAAAAACCCGTGAAGCTCAGGAGGACGGAACAGCTGACATTTACCTGCTGAGCGCTCGAGTGGTCATTCTGACAGGCCAACTCCTGCTCCACCTCCGACACCTCCATCAGCTGCCGCTCCGACACTAGTCGGGACAGCTCGCCCACCACCGTCACATGTTTGGACACGGTCCCCGACATCTTCTTAAACTGGGGGTAGTTATCTACAAATGCCTACAGTGGGTGACAAAGGACACAAATCATCAACATTTTTTACAAAGCATCACATAATTAAAACATTCGAACATTCCACAAATACAAGAAAAAATAAATGTAAAAGTTTTCCTTCCATCCATTTTCTGCTCCAGGTCCAGCAGTTTGAGCACAGAAGCCCAGGCCTTCCTGGGTCTGGCCTGAGCCCTCTTCCCAGGGACACGCCCAACATTCAGTTTAATTATATTTTATTTATAAAGCGTCAAATTACAAAAGCAACAGTCGCCTCAGGGCACTTTATACTGTAAGGTAGACCCTACAATATCACATAGAGAGAAAAACCCAACAATCATATGACCCCCTATGAGCAACACTTCGGCAACGTTGGGAAGGAAAAACGGACACTCATAAGCTCATCCAGCGTTCCCTGACCAGGATGAAAAGCACATTGCTCCCCCTGAATCCAAGGTTCGGCTAACAGATGGGCTCTCCTCTCCATCACCCTGGCATAGAGGCTGAGGAGTGTGATCCCGCTAAAGCGGGACGGTTCTCCCATTCCAAGGGAACTCTCCCTGCTCTATTCCGGCCCATTTGTCAGCCAATCAACATCCAGCAGCTCACGTCATCTGATTCCAACAACCAGCAGTCAGGAGGGCTGCAGGGAGCGCATCTCGGGTGAGGGAAAACTGCTCTGCTGTCTGACTTCTGTGCACAGACGGACACATCTGTGGTCCATAAAACCAGATTTAGGGACCTCGGGTCACATCTCATCCACCCTGTTGGCCCTGACTGGATAACTTTTTAAATACGTCAACCTCAGCGACTCACTGGGTGATGAGTACAAATAAAAGTCTTAAACACAGGAGACTCCAAATCACAAGTTAGGAAATGCACGTTTCTGGGCCACGCCCCAACAACGCGATCTTTAAGCCTTACGGTTGTTATCCATTCAATTTCATCCGTCCAACCATCCTCTTCTGAATGTCTTGATGCTCAATCATCCAGGTAAGTAAATCTCCAAAAGTTGATTCTGTTCTGGACGTAGCGTTTGTGGGAGAAACGTTTCGTCATCATCAGGTGACGTCTTCAGTCTCAGCTGACTGTTGGTCTCGTACGACGTTACATCTCTCTTCACTTGCATCCCAGTCACAGAAGCGTTGGAGGTAGTCCGTAAGAGACTACAGGATCACCGTCAGCATCGACCAAGTGTGTTTGAACTGTGTCTTCATTCCACCTACTTCACATGCAAGGGTCAGTTCTACAGGCAGAAACATGGGTGTGCCATGGGCTCCCCAGTTTCACCCATCGTGGCCAATTTGTACATGGAAGAAGTGGAAAAGAGGGCTTTGCTATCCTACCCTGGAACACCACCAAGCCATTGGTTCAGGTATGTGGATGACACCTGGGTGAAAATCCAATCTCAGGACGTTCCACAATTCACAGATCACATTAACTCATCAAATTCATCAGGGAGGATATGAAAAGTGGCAGGTTAGCCTTCTTAGACTGTGAGATTTCCATCAGGGCTTTGATCAGTGGCCATGAGAATTTGCATAATTACGATGAAGGACCTGACCTCCCAGCCCATTGTTCCTTCAGTGGCTGGTTTCAGTCATTATGCAGATGCACTGTTTCTAAGATTGAAACCTGCAGTCAGCTGAGACTGAAGACGTCACCTGATGATGACGAAACGTTTCTCCCACAAAACGCTGCGTCCAGATGAACAGAGTCAACTTTTGGAGATCCTCTTCTGAAGCAGAGTCACGGTGGGTAAGCAGGTTCTTACAGACATCCTCCCCCCGCCTCACACTTTCCCTCCTGGGAGCTACGAGGCCTTCTGAGGCTAGTCAAGGGGTTTTTGTGTCTACCCTGGGATCTCCTCCCTGTGCCCAGAACGCCTCCAACGGACGGTGCCATGGAGGCATCCTAATCAGATACCCAAACCACCTCAGCTGGCTCCTTTTAACACACAAGAGTTACTCGATCTGTAAGGCTGAGCTCAGCAACCCTGCACAGGAACCTCATTTCAGCTGCCTTTCAGATTTCATGACCACAGCTGAGGGCTGGAATGTAGGCGGACTGGTAAATCAAGAACTTTGGCCACCTCTCTCTTCACCACGACAGTCCGATACAACGCCCACATTCCTGCTGACACCAACTTGCTGGCCCGATTCACACTCCACCTCCCCATCATTTCAACTCTCTTGCTTGTGGCGACCTCCATCCTCCAATCCAGAGGGAGCATTCCAACATTTTTCAGCAGTTGCTATGACGGGGAAATTAACTACAGAGGCCAAACCAGTTGTGTATCAGGCTGTAAACATGATTATTTCTGCATTTTAACACAGGAGTCTAAGGGGACTGACTCCCTGCTGAAGCCTCTGGACTGCAGAGGAACTCACATTTCCAGCGCTGGGGTCGATGTTCGTGTAGTAAAACCTTTAAACTTGTATCAGTAAACAAGCTGAGCCCCGGCTGGAGCCTGACCTTCATGTCTGAGATGGACTCCAGCTTCTGTTGTCCTTTTGGCTTTTTCTTTTGGAAATCCTCCATCAGGTTCTTTATGTTGGTGCCAATCTCTCCAAAGTTCAGGTACAGGTTCTAACGAGGAGACGAGAGAGCGAGGTTAGTGACTGCTAGGACTCGTTTCTGCTCTGAGAGTTACCATTGTAACCTGGACTGAAGGGGCAGCTGAAACATCACATTTTTAAAGTCTGCTAGAAACCTACCAACATGACGAGCGCAGCTTGTTTCTGTCACTCGTTTCAATCCTATTAACGCTGAGCACAGATGCTGACAGATGTGAGCAGATGTGCTGCTGTGTGAGACTCACGTTGGCGTAGAACTCGTCATTCTCAGCTGACAGGACCACCTCTCTCAGGTCTTTGCTGATCCCGGGCACTCTGGACAGGTCGATCCTGTTGTTGTTGAGGCCAAGCAGCTCGTGGACCATCGCCTGGTATGTCCACTGCAACACAGCGAAAGCTCGTAAACACGCACACGTGTGAAAGATGACAGAATTATTAAAAGTGCAAAATGATGTCACAGAGGACAGCGAGCGGTCACCTGATTGAGCAACGGCGTGATGGCATCGTCGCTGCGGTCCAGGATAAGCAGCAGAGGAGGAACTTCAGTCTTCCTGAAGTCAAACAGCTCGTACTCCTTCGTGATGATTTGCTGACAACAAACAAATAAAATACTGAGTAGTACTTTTATTCTTCAGAGTATTACTTGAGTAAAAGTGTTAACAGCTTGAGGCTCAAGTGCTTAAACCCAAGTGCTCAGGTTACAGCACAGAGCTGACATCATCTTTGACCAGCCAACAGGACACTCGGTGCTAAAATAACCTGTAGTGGCATTAAAAGCACTTTTCAGTGAGTGTGTGATGACGTGTGTGATGATGTTGCTGTGGAAACCTTGACGCTCTCCGCGAGCCGCTTGGACATGTCTGAGGACAACTGGTAGCGGATCATCGGACATTTCTTCAGAGCAAGCAGGACGGAGGTCAGTCCCTGAGTGCAGCGTGCCAACATAGAGGGTTCCCAGCTCCGCCCCTAAAACACACACAGGTGATGTGAATGCAGCATGTGGAGCTTTTTAGGGCGGAGCTCTGACAGCTGAGGTCCATGTGGTTCTTACCCGAGTGACTCCCTGCAGGTTCAGAGAGAACAGGTGAGGATTCACAGCGATGAAGTCTCCGTAGAACTCCTGCAGACACACACACACACACACACACACAGTAAGCTATACTTCTGCTACTTTGGTTTTGATGATGTCACTCAGGTGTGTAAACGGTTAGGACTGTGTTCACAGCAAACATGGCGCCGAGTTTGTCCTCGTGATGCTCACGTGGGCAGGACGACAGCTTGCCAGGACATCCTATGAATTCTCAGACCTCGGCACAGTTTTGTTCTGTGTCTGCTTTAAAATTAAATTTGATCAAACAGCTCGGCCCGACCAAACCGCCATAGTAAGCTCCTCCTCCATTTGTGACTGTCAGCATCTCACCTGACACTTGGAGAAATGATGATGTAGCACTGATGGTCATGCAGGCCAAGCTGGATGTTAATAGCAAGGAATTCTTTCATATTACATACATAACCGTAGCATGTTGGGCTACATGTTACTGATGTCATCAAATGAAGGCGTCACAGAGGAACACTTTCAGCTCTAGTCAACTTAAACTCTGATTATAAACAAGTATTTGTTGTATTATTAGAGGAAATGTTTAATCAGTGAAATAATGATCTGTCCAAAGCTTGAAGGTTTCCACATGTCAGACGTGAATCACGGTTAACTGGATCCAGCCTAAAAATCACAAACGTGCCACCGTTACCCAAATCACTACGTTCACTGATGAGATGGAAACACCAACAGCTGTTTTTCTGCTCCTGATCTCACGCTCAGTTGCTCCTTTGACTCAAACCTCATAATTAGTTGAAAAGAACAACCCGACAGAGCAAACGGTCGAGCTCACAGGATTCATGCTGGTTAATGAAACTGAAACAATGAGAAGATGACACAAAGATTTAACCCTGCAGCATCAGCTGACCTCTCTCTGCAACAAGGAGGTGAAGACAGAAAAAGACCCTGGACTAATATTATTATATTAATGTTGTTAAGATGTATTTTGGCAGAGTCAAGTTCAGCTAAGAATGAGCCGCCATGACTGACAGAGAGATCTTACATCATGTAGAAATATTAAACCCCCACGCTTCCTCGGAGGTCCTGACACTCACCTGGACTTCAGCCACCACTTCCTGTTCATCAGCCTCAGCCAAGGCCTTGATCTCACTCTTACTGATCACGTTGCTAAAGTCTGAAACACACACACAGACACACACACACACACACACAGACACAGAGCAGTCAGTTGATGGACTTCAGGTACAAACAAACTTCTGCCCCAAACCAAACTCCAGAGAAGAAATCTCTGATATCTGTTCAGCTGACCAGTCCACAGCTGTAAGTGGAAGATACCTCACATTTGATGACAGTGTCACCCTGTTTAATCAGACTGGCGTCGTTAAAAGCAGCAGGATTCGCTTTTAGCAGCCCCTCTTCAATGTGTATAACGAATTTTCTGATAAGATCGCTGATCTCTAGGATTCTGCAGCAAAGTTGTGTATCTTAGCTTCCGAACTATGTTTGAACTGTCCGAGGACGACGAGTGTCAAACCAGCAACCCTGTTCTCCTCTCACTCCAGCCCTAACTGTCACTGTGGAAACTTACAGATGAAGTAGACGCTGTACTTGGGCCTCCTCAGCTCCTGGATCAGGTGCTCCACATTCTCCTGCAGCAAGCACACAAACACACAGTTGCAGATGGTGTTACCTCACACACAGACACACACAGAGTTACTCAGAGGGCGGTTTGTACCTTGGTGGGCCGCAAGAAGCAGATGGCTTTAAGGTGCTTCATGTTATCCCTGTTCTGAGAGTCAATCCGCTCAAACAGGTAAACCTCCTTCTGCAGGATCTCAGACTGAGTGTACACCACGCTCACTATACTGGTCTGAACACACACACACACACACACACACACACACACACACACACACACACACACACAGTAACGTTGCTGTAAACACTGCTGAGCACCAGCACCGCTAACAGTCCTGGGTCGGTCCTCACCGTCTCCTTGTCCATGAGCAGCACCTTCATCCCGGGCCCGCTGATCTCGATCATCTTGGAGATGTACTGCTTCACCGCGAGCGTCACATTCATGATGGCGACACTCAGAGACCACAAACAAAAACAAATAAACAAAGAGCAGCGGCTGCAGAGAGGGTTTTTTCGTCTCTTTACCTGCGGAGCTGCTATAACAACACTGGAGCAAACTTCCTTCCGGGTCCCTGACGTCACGTGCCGCACGCACTCTGCTTGCGTCATCGGGTTCTGAGAGATTTTTCTAAACTGTTAATAATAATAATAATAACAATAGTAATAATAATAATAATAATTTATTTGTCCTTCTTGTTCCATTGTACTATATATTGTTGCTTTTGTTTGCCATGTATGTCTACTATTTAGGCTGAACTGGAATGACTGGCTGTTCATTTTGCAATTTCAATAAAGTTTGGAAAAAAAAAACTGTTAATAATAATAATAATAATAACAATAGTAATAATAATAATAATGCACGTTGATATTGCCTTTTAGGCTGACGTAGAATAACATCCTTCAGTCAGAATTTTAAAATGGAAAAACGTAAATTACACAATTCCACTCGTGAAATGCTTTATTTATACCAAAAACAACAACAACAAATACTAGTCTTCGTTAACATGTATATTATTTGCATGTAAATATATATGTAAATATATTTACTGATTTCTTTTTACATTTTGTTGGTTGTTGTGTTAGAAATCGCCACACCATCCTAACACTTTGGAAAGCTGGAAAGTTTAGGTAGGTAGATTCCGGAGCTGTTACATTAGAGCCTTTGATGGTCGCCGTTCATGTCTTTAATCAGAGTTTATAGACTCTGTAAATAAAAACAGTCCCAAACTGATTAATTCTGTGTTGCTAATAATTAGCTTAGCATTAGCATGCCAAAGATAAGAAGCATGCCACAACTGTTAGCGTGCCGACATAGCGCTGAACTCTACTTAAACTGGCAGAGTGTGGTGCTTAAACTGAGCGTATTTATCGTCGATAAGCAAAAACATCCGGTTACGAGGAAGAAAACATTTAATAAGCCACATATCAAAACAGCTGCTGTGAGCCCCACGGAGAGGTATCACTCCGCTCCGTCTGAATGTAGTCCCGTAACAGCAGCGCAAACGGGAGGTTGTTGGCGGAGGGATACGGTTGTGCTGGCAGGAGCAAACGACATCTCCAACGTGTATGTGAAGACCACACATTATTCATTTTATTCCTAAAAGAAAAGCACACTGTTCACAGGCGGAATTTTAACGGAATATATAATTGTTTTGCACATTAAATGTCCGGATAAGGTAAGCGTCTGGTTGGTATACTTTTTCAATGGATGTCATCCAGAGTTATTGAAGTCTCTGAGTTAGCAGCTCGGCTAGTTAGCATAGTTAGCTCAATGCTAAGCTGCAGTGTGGAGAGACTGTAGGGAAAGATAATGGTGTATAGATTTGTTTTTATCACTCAACTTTTAGTAGTTAGAAATCAGTAAGTGACACGTTGTTGAGCTTTAGCATGCTAAGCTGCAGCTGTGGTTACTGAATGTGTTTTAATTGAGTTTTGAAACTTGCTCATGAACTAAATGTATTAACGTTTTTTAAGCTCTGTTGCTTCTAATAGAGTTTAAGGTCACCTATAACAACTTTGAGCTACTCCCTTTATCAGCTACTAATGAAATCTTTGTTGTTGAAAATAAAATATTAATACGAGCTCCTTATTGATGAAGTTGGCACTGCTAACTTTGAGATAGCCACTAGCAGAATGCTCATACAGAGCAGCTGACATATTTATGAATGAAAAAGGTTCAGATCTGTGTAGAGCTGCAACACTAAACTCGTTGAGCTTTGAATTAGCTTTTTAAAATTAGTTTTTGAAGATTTAAGCCAGAAGGAAATAATTTTAGTTTGAGATTTCCTTTTTTTGTTCAAAAATAACATTGGTATAATTAGCCACATGCTCTTTGTTAGGAACCCCTGTGAAATGCTTTTATAAAGCTTATTTTGACTGATGTCCTGTTTGAATTGCAGAGTTGATTTATTAGACTGTATTAAAAAGGAGGTCTCTATAGATAATTTCCCTGTTCAGAACAACTGTACCTGGTGAATGTTTTTATAACTCACCTGTTCAAATTGGATTAATGCTTAATATTTGCATTTTTTAGAGGCATGTTTGGCCGATGGGTGCACACTGACGGAGGTGGTTCTAGCTGCTAGCTGGAGCCTCTAGTTTTTGTGCAGGTTTGTCTCACAGGTGTGTCCTTCCAGCAGGCAAGGAGATGACGACAGAGGTGGAGAGGCCAGCAGGAGGCACAGCTGACCAGGAGATGAAATGTAATGAAGAGGAGGAAGAGGTCCTGCAAGAAAAGGATGATGAAGGTTAAAAAAAAAAACCCCAAACAAACAATTCTTTACAATGAAATGAATTCAGCATATGCAGGTTATCCTTCCATTATCTCAATTCACTTAACTAACGGCCGTGTCTAAGAATCTGTATTTATTAATGATGCTCATCAGGGAAGCGCAAAGATTTTAGAGGCTGCTTAAAAACTTTACACCCTCCTACTCTTTCTGCAGAGGTCCGAAGGACCAGCAATGATGACATTTTATTCCATGACGTAAATTAGTCTTTATATATGTAGCGTCTCATGTCCCCTTTAAATGACGAGTAAGTCTCGCACCAATTGTGATGATTAGTCCACTAATGTGGCACCACGGACGCGGCCTTCACCCAAAAGCCAAAAGCTTTGGAATTTAACATCAGTAAGGCCTTCAGATCAAATAGACCAAATACGATTGAGTCTATAGGATTTCAGTAGGAAGCTGTTAGCATTTGGGTAAAGTTCAGCACCTGATAAAAGCAAAGTGACCGTAGAGTTTCCTCTTAAATTCAAATTGGCTGATTGTTGTGATCAGACAGTCAGCTGATTAAGTGTGTGTGTCGTGTTCAGGTCTGCAGGAGGACGCTGACCCCCCACCAGTCCATATCATCCCTCTCCCAGTCCAGCCTAATGCAGAGAACAGCTGCGGGCCCCTCACAGACAGCAGCGCAATGGAGGTACTGGTTGATTTTTGATTATAGATCGACTGCTGGTTGTTGATTATAGATCATCTGCAACATTTCAAACATGTGATGTGTTCAGTCTGCAGGTGCTTCTCTAAGCTTCAGGGTCAACGGTCAGCTGGTCCCCCTGCTGCCTGGAGGTCAGTCCCAAACACTTTCAAGTAGAAGTACTTCATTAATATCTTTGTTCATACTAGAGATGGACCGATCCGATATTACGTATCGGTATCGGTCCGATACTGACCTAAATTACTGGATCGGATATCAGAGAGAAATAAAAGATGTAATCCGATCCATTAAATATCACACAAGCACCTCACAAAACCTGCGACACGGCGTAACTCTGCTCATAACCGCAGCACGTCGCAGCAGTGTGCTCACGTGATAGAGCGGCT